CTAATTTTAAAAAATAGCCTTTTATAGGATTAGAATGAATCGAAACTTATTGAATACAGATTATTTTGTCATCTTTATCAATCAACAGCTTTTGTTATAAAATTTATTTAGTTAAAATTATTTTGAAAAGGTGAAAGAAAGAAAATCCAAATGGGAATAACATTTAGACACCTCTATTGGTTTTTTTTTTTTCATAAAATTAATTTAATTTAAAAAACAAAAAGCAAAAAAAAATTAAGATTTGTTGAATTTTTTAAGTTTTCATTTTTTATAATTGTTTAAAATATTTCAATTTTTTTTATTCAATTTTTTTTTAGAAATTTTTAATTTTTTTATAGAATTTTTCTTTTTAATGTTAATCTAGTAGTTGATGATGTAGTATTAATTGAACTTTTTTATACATCTCAGTATCTTATTTAATATTCATACCACGTCAATAAATTGATTAATGATGTTTGTCTCAAATATCAAAATAGATAACGAAATGAAAGTTAAAGTATTAAATTGATAATTTTATTTTTTAAAAGTATTAAATTGATAAAAAATATATAATATAAGGATTATTTTTATATTTAATTATATATAAATATACAATTATATAAATAATTTAGAACCCATAAAAAATGACCATCCATCCAAAAATGAAAAAAATTTAAAAAAAATTTAGAAAATTAAAAGAATAAAAAAGATAAGACTCACAAAAAAAAAAAAAGGAAAAAAAGATAGGATGCATTCAAAAAAGGAGATGATGAAAAGAAAAGACCAGATGTGAAAATATAGGTAGATGGGACTAGGGTTGGTAGCCCAACCCGAAATCGACAGGTTTCGACCCGACCTTATAGGGTCAATTTTTTTTTTTTTAAATCAGGTTTCAAATCGAATTGAGTCGAATATTATTAAGGGAAAATTAGGTTCGGGTTTTAGGCAAACCTGACCTGACCCGATATTATATAAAAAATTATTTTTTAATTTTTTATTTATATATTTTATATTTAAAAAATAATATTTTATATTTTAAAAAATAATATTTTATTAATTTCGGATCGAGTACAGTTTATACAATATCGAGTTCGGGTATAAAAAAATAAAAAAAATTTTTGATCGAGTATGAGTACGAGTTTTATGGTTATAAAATCGGATCGGGTTCAGGACGAACAAAAATCCATTCTAACCTGGTGAGGCTTACCAAATATAAAGAGAGAGTGAATAGGATGGTGTGATAGAAAAAAATAAAGAAGATGAGGTGTTACGCGACAACATCATTAAAAAAATATTGTACAATCGTATATGTGCAAATTTTATCTTATGAATATCAATGGATTTCACACATAAAAATTTAAAATTATAAAAATTATTGATTAAATATTAAAAAAATGCATTAAAGTGTCACGTGAACCATATAAAATCTCTGTACATACTTAAAATTTAAAATATAAATAAAAATGATAAAAAAAAAAGTGAAATAAAAATGGCATGTGAATTTATTAAATTATGATATTAAATAATAATTTTATTAATATAATATATAAATAAATATAAAATTAAATTAATAATAAAACATATATTTATATCAAGGATTTAAAAATGCAAAAAAGCAAAAAAAAAATAAGAAACAAAAATAAATCCCGATATGATGATGACACTTTCATAATATCATTTCTTTAAAAATTATCAAATAATAGAGGAAAAATATATATTTATGATCAACAATATCAAATAAGCATCAATTACAAAATTTAAAATATAAAAAAAATTTCTTAATTATTTGAAAGAAAAAAATAGAAAAAAGAGAAAAAAATGAAAAAAGAAAAAAAAATAAAAGCAAATGACTTGACACATAAATACTTTTAGTATCAAGTAGGTCACACAAAAAAATTAAAATCTTTAAAATATTTATTAAATATATAAGAAAAAGAAAAAGTTAAAGAAAAGTAAACATGTGGCATGACCTTAGTATCAAGTGGATCTTACACAAAAAATTGAAATCTTTAAAAAATATTTATAAAAAATTCAAGAAAAAGAAAAAATACAAAATAAAAAAAGAATTGGTAAAAAAAAGGTCTTACCATTAAAAATATAAATTAGAGAAATATTTATGAAAAATAATTTGAAACAAAATTTATTAAATTAATATATTAAATAATAATTTATTAATATATAATACATATATTAGATTTTTTGCAAAATTTAGATTATGACTTAAAAATAAAAAGGCATAAAAAGGGCAAAAAAAAAAATCTAAATGGAACATCAACACCTCCGTAATATCCTTTTCTTTAAAAATTATAAAATGAAAAAAAAAAAAATTTTAATTAATAATATCAAATGGGTATAAAAAGGAAAAATAATAGAAAATAGAAAAAATAAAAACAAAAAAAGCAAACACACCTTGGTATCAAGTGAGTTCATACAAAGAAATTTAAAATATTTAAAAAATTTTTAAAAATTTTAAAAAAGCAAAATAAAAGGAATGATTGGTAAAAAAAGTCCTACCTTTAAAAATATAAATTAAAAAATATTTATGAAAAAATTAAAACAAAATTTATTAAATTAAGATATTAAATAATAATTTTATTAATATAATACATGTGTTTAAATGATGTGTTTTTGTTTGCAAAATTTATATTATGAATTAAAAATAAAAATAAAAAAGGAAAAAAATTAAAAGGCCAAAAAAAAAAAACAGATATAGATGTGACATCGCTACTTTTGTAATATTTTTTTCTTTGAAAATTATTTAATGAAAAAAATAATTTTATAATCAATAGCATTAAATGGGTCCAACATTTAAAAAATATTAAAATATAAAAAATTAGATATTAAAAAGGAAAAAATGAATAAAAACTTTTAAAAAAGAAAAAGAGAAAAAAATGATTTAGACACATGCATACCCTTAGTTTCAAGTGAAAAAAAAATTAAAATCTCAAAACGTTATCATTAAATATATAAAAAGGAAAATAATAGGAAAAGAAATAAAAAGCGAACACATGGCATACTTTTTGTCAAGAGTGTGAAAAAAACGAAAAAATTAAAAATCAAATCAAAATCATAGTTTTTAGTTTGATTTGGATCAAATTTTTTTATTCGATTTATATTAAGTTTAAAAATTAAATATATATATTAAATTCAGATCAAATTTAGCATCAAAAAATAAAAAATAAAAAAAATCGAATCGAATTATATATTTTTATTAGTTTTTATCTATATTTTTATTTTTTATAAAATAAAATAATAATTTTATATCAAAATCTATTTAAATATATTAAAATTTTATATTAAAATAATATATAAAAAATTTAAAATTTAAAAATCGATAAATAAAATTAAATTAAACCAATAAAATTTAATTTCATTCAGATCATATAAATGATAAATTGTATTCTAATCAAATTTTAAAAATTTATAATATTTATAATATACAAAAATATTGAATTGAATCCGATCCTAACTATTATTACCTTTACTTTTTTTATATCAAGTAGATTACACAAAAATATTAAAATAAACAAATAAAAAAAGTAAATTACTTAACATGTGATATACCTTTAATATGAAGTGGCTGAGACAAATTTTTTTTTAAATATTTATTAAATATATAAAAAATAAAAAACAATGCACAACACATCCTCCTTATGTCCTATAAAAAAAATAAAATTTTAAAAAATATTTATTAATTTTTTGAAGGAAAAAAATGGTAAAAAAATAGAAAAGGAAAAAACTTTGTATCAAGTGGTCCCATATTAAAATTTTTAAATAATTAAAAAATTTATTAAATATAAAAAATTTTTAGAAAAATATTAAAAGAAACAAAAATTAAAATTTTAAAAAATATTCATTAATTTTTTTAAAAGCAAAAAGTAATATATATATATATATATATATATATTTCTATATATATAAAACTGAGAAAGTGCTACGTAGTGCAAGGGCTGAAGGCTCCTTACACCTGTACGAGAGCAAAATTTTATACTACGGACGGTTAAGGATGCTAACTATTTGAACCAGAATTAGCTCTTTGCGTGGAATTTTTTTCTCAATTTTTAAAATATTTTTGAATATATTTACAATGATTTTAATATATAAAAATGAAAAATAAATAAAAAATATTATAAAAATATTTAAATTAAAAAATATATATTATATTTTATATTGCAATTATATTTTTTGTTAAATTTACATAATATTTTATGAGCATTTTATTTTTTATTAGTCATTTGATCAAATGTATGATTTTTTAATTTATTATTGATTATAATTTTTTAAAAAATATTTAATGGAAAAGAAAATAAATAAAAAAGAACTTAATTTTTTTATGAAAATTAACTTAAATTTTTATGAAAACTAAATCCAAGAGTGAACTTAAATTTTCATAATATTTTATGAGCGTTTTATTTTTTATTAATCATTTCATCAAATGTATGATTTTTTAATTTATTACGGATTATAATTTTTTTTGTAAAAATATATAAACCAAAAGAAAAAAAAGGAACTTAAATGTTATTTTTTGTTTTATTATGAAAATTATGAAAATTTAATTTTGTGAAAATTAAAAAAGAACTTAAATTTTATGAGCGTTTTATTTTTTATCAATCATTGATCAAATGTATGATTTTTTAAATTTATTATAGAGTATAATTTTTTTTGTAAAAATATTTAAAACAAAAGAAAAAAATAAAAAAGAACTTAAATTTTATTTTTTTGTTTTATGTCTTTTATATTTATATATTTATCATCATTATTAAGTAGAGATTCACTTATACAAATATAAGTTTTATACTTTTTTTTTTCACTCTTGGATCAAAATATAGTATACAATTAATTTGAATTAAAATAATATTTTTGATTTTAGCTATTTTGATCAAAAAATAAAAACAAATGTAAGATTTACACTATTTTAAATAAATAAATTTCTCTTCTTAATATTATACTTTTAATTTTTTATTTTATTACAAATAATAAGTAATAAAAATTCAAAAATCATTTAAAAAAAAAAAAACACATCCATTACCTCGCAGTCCAAAACCTTGCTACGATGCCATCCAAAACCTCCCACCTCAATTAAGATCAAAACTCACCAATTCAAATACTCCACAACCCAAAATCTCACGACTTAAAAGCCCATCCAATTAAAATAAGGACAGTCGTCAAGATTAAAAGCTCCAATAATCTCAAATTCAGCAACCTCATTCAATTGATTGAAGAAGAAGAAGAAGAAGAAGAAGAAGAAGAATATATGTTATTGATTAATGTCTTAATTTAATAAACTCCTCAAATTACTTCTAAGGTACCATATTTATAATCTGAGAATATTTATCAGTTAAATCTTTTTTTTATTTCCCTTTTTACAACAACCATGCAACACTGAGATCTCCACCATTTAAAGATTAAATATTTCCTGTGTTATGCTTGTACTGTAAGAACTTTTCTGCCGTAGGAGTAGCTGCCGCTGTTCAACTTGAGACACCAACTCCAGAGGACCTTTCATGGAGAAAAATGTGTAATGCGTCAGTGACATATTTGCATGCTGTTTTACAGTTATGTGCAAGAAACAGAGCAGCCATCCAAGGGAAAGCATGCCATGCGCATGCAATCCGTTTTGGCTTGCAAGAAGACACTACAACATCCAATATCCTCATTAATATGTATTGTAAATCTGGTCTTTTGTCCTCCGCTCGCAAAGTGTTTGATGAAATGCCAGCACGAAGCTTGGTTTCCTGGAATACCCTCATTGGTTCATATGCCCAGAACGGGAAGGCTCAAGAAGCGTTAAGTCTTTTCAAGTCTATGCAAAGGGAAGGAAACTCATTTAGTGAATTCACCATTTCAAGCGTTCTTTGCGCCTCCGTTGCAAAATGTGCTGTTTTTGTGTGCAAACAGCTGCATGGTTTTGCTATAAAGGCTGCCATTGATTCAAACCTGTTTGTGGGAACTGCATTGGTTGATGTTTATGCAAAATCTGGTTTGGTAAAGGATGCTAGCTGGGTTTTCGAGAAAATGCAAGAGAGGAGCGTTGTTACATGGAGTTGTATGGTGGTTGGGTATGTTCAAAATGATCTTTTTGAGGAGGCTTTATTGTTGTTTCATAGAGCTCAAATAATGGAGCTGGAGCATGATCAGTTTATGTTATCTTCCATTACGTGTGCTTGTGCGGGTCTAGCTGCTTTGATTGAAGGAACACAGGTACATGCTATTATATCTAAAACTGGATTTGATTCAAACATATTTGTGGCTTCCTCTCTTATAGACATGTATGCTAAATGTGGCAGCGTCAAAGAGGCTTACACTGTGTTTACTGGAATAGAGGAGAAAAATGTTGTCTCTTGGAACACAATGATTTCTGCCTTCGCTAAACATGCTCACGCCTTGGAGGCAATGATTTCATTTGAGAAAATGCAGCTGATAGGTCTCCACCCTAATGAAGTGACATATATTTCTGTGTTATCAGCTTGTAGTCATATGGGCTTTGTTGATGAAGCAAAGAGCTACTTTGACCTCATGATAAGAGAGCACAATTTGTCACCTAATGTCATTCACTATTCATGTATGGTTGATACTCTTGGTCGAGCAGGAAAGATTTCTGAAGCTTACAATTTGATACAGAGAATGCCTTTTGGTGCCACTGCTTCTATGTGGGGTTCACTTTTGTCCTGCTGTAGGCTCCATGGGAATCTTGAATTAGCTGAGGTTGCTGCTAAGCATTTATTTGAGTTGGAACCTGATAATGCTGGAAACCATATTTTGCTCTCAAATATATATGCTGCTAATAAAAAGTGGGAGGAAGTTGCAGGAGCAAGGAAACTTCTCAAAGAAAGTGTGGTGAGAAAAGAAAGGGGTAAGAGTTGGATTGCAATCAAGGACAAGGTCCACATGTTTATGGTTGGAGAGATAAATCACCCAAGAATTGTTGAAATTTATTCCAAATTAGATAATTTGGTGGAAGAGATGATGATCCTTGGTTATAAAGTTGAGATTGAACATGAACTTCACGATGTGGACGAGAGTAGAAAGCAAGAACTGCTGAAGCACCACAGTGAGAAACTGGCACTTAGTTTTGGGTTGCTTTGCCTACCTCCTAGTGCCCCGATACGAATAATGAAGAATCTCAGGATTTGTGGGGATTGTCATTCTTTTATGAAGCATGCATCTTGCATTACACAGAGGGAAATCCTTGTTAGGGATATAAACAGGTTTCACCATTTTAGAAATGGTTGTTGCTCTTGTGGTGATTTCTGGTGATCTGTTAGTTTGCTGAGTGTCAGAGTCATTTTTGGTCTATAACAAGTTCACTGGCTTAGACACTCCATCTGCTGCTTTGTGGTAGGTCTGTTTGTTTGTAAGCAAAAGGTTTTTGAGACCATGTCCAGGCTTTAATTAGATATTCAGAATTTTGATGAAATGCCAGATTTTCTCCTGATGTCAACGTATATTACATGGAACCTTATCCTTGCAGAGTAATAGGACTTAAGATGGCTTGAGTGATCTTAGATATCTACACCATAATATAATCTGAAGGTAATGTAATGTTTATTTGTTACTTATATTTCATTTTGCGTTTCAACTTTATTTACAAGGTCTTTGTTTCTTACTTTAACTGCTTCTATCTCTATGGCAGGTTGTTACAAACTTTTGCTCATTATGCGGAATGCAAGTTGTAGAGGAATTCCAACGATATTGTATGATTGTCACTGCTTTTTTTAATTCCAATTGCAACAAGCTTTAATCTTGCTGCCACAAAGATGTAGTAATCCCTTAAAGTTATGATATCTACAACCCATCAAAATTGTAGCTAGGGATATGGAGATTTATGGGCATGTTTACCTCATTTTTCAGGCTCCCTGAAGATTACCTGCTTAATCACCAATTTTGTGGTTAACTTACAATTTCTATACCAGTTATTATTTTTATGTGGATACTTACATCTAAATGTTGTGTGCGTAATTATTAGTTCTATACCAATTACTATTGCTACATGGATACTTACATATAAATGTTTTGTGCTTAATTATGGGATTTTAATTGTCTTCATCTTGAACACTTTATGGATAGTTGTTAGTTCAAGCATTATTTGTTCATGGCTTTTGCAAAATAAGTCTTATCTTCCTGATGCCAAATAAGCTCCATCTTGTATCCAAAAATTGGCTCTTTAATTTGTATTGCATTCTAGTATGCACAAATTTGCATGCTTTTGACTAAGTGTAGTATTTAAGACACTGCATGCATAGGTAGGCCACATCAAACTGATTATCTTTTACCAGTCAATTGAAACTCAAAGTGGCTGGGGGATTTTGTAGGTTCAGGTAAAAGCATTGATGAACCAATTAGAACATAGGAGAGACTGAATTGATGTCAGTTCTGTTATGGTTTGCATTACAATATCAAAGTTGCATTAGATCAAGCTCATTGAATCTCCTTTCCTCGCATTACCCTTCATTGGTTTTGCAATCTATTCACAATGTTGTAGGTTTCACGTCTCAGATGAAGGACCTTTGAGATTGAATTTAGTCTAGAGATCTGATTTGGCATATCCAAAGAGCCCAGTAAATTATTGTTATTAACGTGATTGTACCAGGAGACAGAAATCAGTAATGCAGAGAGAAAATGGGTTTTGGGAAGGGAGTGGGAAATGGGGGAATCCAGAGGCAAGAGTTAGAGATGTGGTCTGGAACTCTTTTCACTTAGAATGATGATTAAATGAGATATAATTCAAGTTCCAGTGCTTTAGGGCTTTAGACAGCATAGAATGAGAGAAGATTCATTATGTTAAATCAAGTTGGAGGGATAACAGTTTAGGAATGTGATATGAGAATGACAGTTTTTGAAGGGATATTGTCTTATATTTTCGTATGTACCTGATAAAAGTAACACCTTTTGTAGAAAAGTCTAGGTTGCTAAACCGAGAGATTACGATGAGTTGATTGATTGAATACTTATAGTTCTATACCACTGGAATACCATCTTTGCTGTGTAAAGTACTAAGTGTGATCATTTCAGGGAAAATTGAGCAGGTGAGAAACTGCTTTATGTGTTATTAACTCTTTAAACAAAAAAAATTGATAAAAAATTGTAACCTCTAATATACATCTTGAAACATTAGGTGCACTGTTAAATTTAAGAGAGAAGAGAAAGTAAAAGGACAAAAACTTCACATGAAACATGAAGATAGCTGTGCAAGTGATGTTGTTTGGACTTTGTTTTGGGTAAAGAATGATGCCTAAGAGCAATAATTTTGTGTTCTTATTTTGTCCTGCACTTGAAATAGATTATGTGTTGATGTGGCTCTGGTCTTCCAGTGGAATTGCTCAGGATGCTGGGAGGAAGAAGATGATGACTAAAATAATTTAGCTGATCTTCATGAGGAGAAATAGTCTCATATGAGTTTATTTTCTTTGTCTTTTTCTTCTTTGGAGCTGCACAATTGAAAATTAATAGTGAGCCTGCAGCGTCAATATACACAATTTTACATGGGCAATCTTTGTTAAATTTACCATTCATTCAGTATAGTACTATCGCTATCGGTGTCAACTGTCTCAGACTCTTGAATTTGTGATGAAACATCTGATTTCTCTATCAGTAGACTTGATAAACTCTTGCAGAACTGCTCATCATCATATATCGGCTTAGAAAATAATCATTGTTCGTCGAAAATAATCAACTTAATGACTGATTATCATACCTCTTTGTAAACTGTTAGTTCTCCTGCAGATTTTGATATTTCTACGACACAATTTGTGGGAGCAACCTCAATGACCTGGCATTGAAACATAAAGTGGTGAGACCTTTCGATAAATTGTCTTGTAGAAAGAACATATTACAATTAATTACCTCAGCTGATAGGTCATAAGATGATCTACAACATCTAGTCATCTTCTGTTTTGGATGAATTTTCATCTGCTAAGGTGAAAGACAATAAAAAGTTGGACAAAAAAAAAAAAAACAGTTACTTGTCCACGAACTAGGAACATGTTCAATTTGTACCTTGAAATTATTCATCCTTTCAACTGATAGACTCACATCCATTGCAGCAGCTTCTATTTTCTTTATGGTTTCATTAACTGTATGCTTAGATCCAATCCTTGTTCTCTGCCTTTTGCCATCCTACTTAGAGAAAATGGGTGGCTTAATTTAGTGATGAACTAACGATGCTAGTTCATTGTAAATGCTGGTTTTGATTTTAACAGACTTGCCTGTCCTTCAAAGAGACCTGATAAATCCAGATCATGTGACATTGCTATCAACTGGAATGCATTTATGAAATTTGAGGATTTGTGTGTCTTCACCTCTGCGTTGTGTTCCTGCATGATATTTCAGATGGTTAGGCGAAACTATGAGACTCTTATGTTGATACTAATTTGAGCATTTACCTCAACTGTATCGAAGGCAGCACAAACATCATCCAAGTGTATGTTCTCATTAGATTCATAGCCACATGAAGGCACATAATCTGTTTGAAACCATGCATCTTCAATGATTTCTGGAATTGTTATCCTCTGTAGTGATATAAAGGGAAATTATTGTTATTTTTCATTTTAACATGGAAATCTCTATCTCATAGACTGTCTTGGAGTTATACCCTTTTGGGATTTGGATCAAGTATACGTGCAATCAGCTTCCTCTGACATCCTGTTAACCATGGTGGACATGTGTATTGTGCTCTAGATATCTTCACAGAAGTGCAAAACATCAGTGAAGGGTAACTTATTGTACCTGATGCAGGTTATGTTCCTATAAGCAGATGAATACCTTCTTGTATAAAGCCACAAGATTGCGATCATCAAATGGTAAATAGCCAGCAAGTAGTTCAAAAAGTATTACACCACAAGACCAAATATCAGCAGCTGCACCATCATAGCCCTTATTTGCAAGCAGCTGTTCGCCAAAAGATTAATCATCAGCCTAATCAGGTAAAGTTGCTTTCTAAAGAATAGTTAACTGTTAGTCTATATTTTTCTACACTCTTTTGGTTCTTTCTGTATTTTCAAAAGTGTTTTTCTCCTGTTTTAGTCTATTGAATTTGGACAGCATAGAACAATTGAACTGGAAGAGATGTCTCTTACCTCAGGTGCTACATAGCACGGTGAGCCGCATGCTGTAGTTAGCATATCTCCAGGCTGAAATTTATGAGAATTTTTAGCTAAAATTCAATGGGAACTCTTTGGAATTAATTGGAAAAATGAAGGATTATTTAAGAAAATGGAAAGTCTGTGGCTACCTTCCTCAAAGCACTCAGCCCAAAATCAGTTACTTTCAGGTTTCCCTTACTATCCAAAAGCAAGTTCTCTGGCTATAGAAAATATTGACAGTGATCTTAATTAGTTTAATGTCTTGTCTTTGCTGCATTTGTGAAGACAGCAAAATTAGTGTGTTACACGTACCTTTAGATCTCTGTGATAGACTCCTTTTCTATGGCAATGGTCCACTGCATCTATTAATTGCTGGAAAAGTTTTCTTGCCTCTGGTTCACTTAATTTTTTGGCATAAGACTGGATAAAAAGGGAAAAGAGGATTAAAAATGTAGATTGAAAAGCTTTACATCAAAATTTTATTGAATCCCTAGTGCTGTGTGATGAGTCTCACCAATTTATCTGAAATTTGTCCTCCTGATATGTATTCCATTATTATGTATATCTTTGTCTTCGAGCCAATAACCTGCAAACAGGATTCATCTCTACAAATGAGTGAGGGTGCAAAAATTGGTGCCAGTTAACCTATGCTGAAATTCAAAAACACACCTCATGGATTCTTACGACATTGGGGTGATGCAGAAGCTTCATTGTTCTTATCTCTTGCTGTACCTGAGATTTGAATGTTGATTTGTCAGCCATAACAAACTTTGTCCTTTTTTTTTTGTTTATTTTATTTCAGGTCAGAGGCCAAGACATGGATAAGATCAAGACATAAAACAAAGCAAGGGCTAGGAATTTGCCTGATGCTTGAGATTGCTTTCCATGACCATGGCCTTATTGATGATCTTGATGGCAACATGACGACCGTTTTTGGTGTCTACAGCCAGCTTGACCTTGGCAAAGGTACCTTCTCCAATCGTTCGACCTAGCTGATACTTCCCTATAGTTGTTGCAAACCCCATTATCTATTCCAAAACCAAAGTCTATGAAAATCTTCTCCTGTATTCCTCAAGAAAAAACAATCAAATCCAGTCCTTGTCCTGCCTTCCCACAGAAACAACCAGTCCTCCCTAAACTCCTTGTAGATGTTCCTTGTATCCTCTATGCTCCAAATCTGTTTTAAAAACAGATCCGATTTGACTTACGTTGGAAGTTAATTCATGCTTCTTCCCGGCGACTGCCATGTCTATGGCTTTAATGCATTCTTAAAAAGCCTGATAATACTAGGTCTCATAATTTTTTAAGTTTGATAATATTGTGCTGAGCGTCTGAAGTCGTTGAAGATTTTATTTGCGAGTCTTTGCATGGACGGGAAGATGACTTGTCTGGCTATTGGGCTAGTTGGTGAGAGTGCATGGTTTGAATGGAAGTTGGCCATTGTGTCTTAACAAGGAGTCCACCTACGTGCATTTTTCCATTTATGATTTTTCTTTTTCCAACCATGGATAGCTTCTGATTTTTCTTATTTTTGTGTCTTAATAAGGAGCCCACCTACGGTACTCGCTATTTTTTTAAGTACCATTGGTTAAAATTATGACGATTTTAATTATATCTAATAATAATTCGTGTATTAGTATCGTATTTATTTTATATTAAATATATTTTAACATAAAAATTATCATTTCATAGTTGGTGTTGATATATTAAATATAAAATTTTTATTATCAAATTCATATTATTTTTATCAAAATTTTGAATTGTATTATTTGTATAATTTTTTCGTATTATTTTTGTATCATATTATTGTATTATATTTAAAATTTTTGGATTTAGTTTTAATAAATATGAAATATTATATAACTAATACTAGACATCTTAATTCTGATATCACACTAATTCTATCTTAATTTTTGCATGATACTTGCTCAATTGAATGGGATAAAGTTTAAAATAACTAGACCACTCTTGTTTGGGTTAAAAATAGATTAATCATGAACAAAGGAAACTGTCGATTACCTAAAAACAAAAAATAAAATAAATAATTGCCCCGTTTTGAATATGTAAAGACTTTAAAACAAAAAAAAAAAAAAAAAAAAACAAAATACCAAGGATCCTACAAAAATTAAATGACGAAGACAGCTAAAAAATTTAGTGCAGGTTGGCAGCACATTGTCACGTTATGTTTGGGGGTCCATTAACCATTCACATTTTAGCAATGTTATTGAAAATAACTTTTGTATTTAAAACTTGTTTTTGACTCAAATGTACTGTTAAGTAATTAAAAAAAAAGTTTTGGTTTTTAATTTAAAATTTTTATATTTCAACCCAAACCAAAAGATCCCCAAGAGATGTTTTTGAAGTAAAAATTCTTATTTAGGATAAAAATTCATTTTTATTTTTATGTTTATAATATTTTATTATTTTATATATTTCGTGACATTTCAATTATTCATAATAATTTTTTATAATAATATCAAATACTTAAAATTTTAATTATATTTTTTTCTTCGTATTTTTTAAATGCATTTTTTTCAAATTCAAAATTTTCCAACTGGAATGCTGAAATAAGCCATAAGTGCTTTCACCGTCTGACCAGTAGCCATTTTGACATGTGCTTTTGTTATTATTACAACCATCCGTGCCCATGATTTTAATAATCCAAGTCTTCCTTGGTATCATAACCTCACTCTCGTTTGAAACCCTAACCGTTGAAAACGTGAAAATTTTGATCTCACATATTTAACTTTGTTTCTCAACCATGGTAAGCCCTTCATCTTATCAACGTTTTACTCTTTTTTTTTTTTTTTCGTTTATTTATCTCCAAAATTGTTGTAGGTCCTAATCCCTTGAAAATTGGGGTAGATGGGTTAGGTGGGTTACATTGTTTCTTTGGGTGTAGCTGTATGATGAAGGTTAGTTACTCGGCTTTTGGTGGAAAACACATTCTTCACATTTTTTCCTTTCTTTTAGGATACCCTAATAAATTTTTTAACTTTATTTAAAAAAAAATAAAGTTTTTGAGGATTTGTTTGGATATTATGCTTTTCTTTCATATATATTTTGTAAAATACACGTAATGAAAATATGCATGCAAGCAAAGCATATTTAAAAGGGCAATAAATTATCCTTTAAGTGATAAATGATTTAGTTGATGACAACCCAATAAAGGAAAAGTTTCATCTGATATACAATCATAAAAGTTTTACTAATTAATTATGAAAAGGATTATGAAAAGGAAATTATTTTACTAATTAATTAGAGATTTAAGGTTATTGTATAAAATAATATTTTCACTCAATAAATTAAAAATCATGAATAAAATTGTCAATTATTGTATTTAATACAAAATTATTACTATAAATAATATATCAACTAATTTTTAAAAATGCCTTAATGATAGGTTTTTTTTTTTGGAAGTATTAATTATAGTTATTAGCAAAACCTACTAATTAGTTATCATTTTTATAAGGTATTTCAAGATTAATATAAATAAATTATTTAGTATCTATGTTTTTATATATTTTATCAATTTTTGGGGAAAATTATGGAATTTAATAATGAAGTTAATAAACACGTACTTAATAGATAATAGATTTATTATTAAAATAAAGATGTGAAATTTTTTTTGTTTTGGTAAAAAGAACAAGTTGAGTTGTTTTAAGAAAAAAATTGAAATATAAAGAAATCGAATTGGGGACACTAATTATTATAGATAAAGATTCATATACGGAATTCGTCGACTATCATCTACCAAGCTGGCCAATAATCCAAATTGAATTGAGAGCCCTAATAAAATGTAAATTTTGGGAATTTAAAGCAACCTTGTCCATATAAGCACTCCCAAAACCAAGCATTTTATCTCATTTTTCAACTACCACGATGGCACATGGCTTGACTTGGACTTCCTTTTTATTCTTTGCTTTTAAATTTGGCAAATTGATTTTGCCTTATGGCTTACAAAAGTCAATTTTGCATCTCAATTTTCCTCTCCCACGCTGTTGAAGATTAGCTGCCTCCTACGGGTCACCTTGGTTGCTACAATAAATCCAGGCTGACGGATACAATTTTTTTTTTTTTTTTGAAAATTTTTTATTCACTTTTGAACTATGTACCCTTGTACTTATCTGGTTGAAAATCATATTATGTGCATAAATTCTTTTCAATCCGTAATTTTCAAGTATCAGCTTCATTGTTATTTTAATTGATTTAAAGGTCAATTGATGATACAATTTTGTGTTATTATTTATATATATAATTAATGAGTACTCTTTCTCACTAACATTGCTTATGAAAAATAACTAATATCTTGATTTAGACACAAATTTTACATAGTTGAGTTTGATAACTACATTACCGTATAAATTCCAACTAGATACAAGTTGGTTAGATCTTCTTCTACTTATAATTATTATATTATCAGGTTTTCGGACCTCTAATACATAAGTTCTGGTTTTATCATATTGGCCTCACCTGAATAGGCTGATACAGTGCATGGCAACACAGCCTCCATCTGAAGAATTAATGGTTTCAAACATATTGACGTTGTTGTGGAAAATATGTCACTTCTACTAAAAAAAATTCTAGTCTTCTCTTCCTTTAGTATATCAACTGAAGCTTATCGGTTTCTGTCAAAGAAATTGATAAAAAATTTTGATGTGAAATTGACCAAAAAAAAAAAATCTGAGGTAAATGGGTTTAGCTTTTTGGTTTGGTTAATTTATCTGGAACCAAAAAACATGCCAATTCTTTGTTTTAGAAGCTAATTTGATGTTCTTTGTTCTAATTTCGAGATTAATTTTTCAAATTAAAGTTAATTTTTACCATTCAACAAACATAATAAATCACTACCAATCATTTGATATGTACAAAAAATATATATATGTCCACAGCATCTCACGCTATATGACTGCGCATGCTGTTCAGTTGCATGCTTCCATTAGAAATCATACTTATTTGTTAGATTTAAAAAGCATTTAATTTTAATTTGGAACAAATTAAAATTTTGATACCTGTGCGCAATCCTCAAAATTTTTAATCATAAATTAGGCATTTAGTTAATAAGTCATTAAATTATTGATAAAAGATAGTCTTCAATCCTTACGTTTTGTAATTGATTATCTAACCTGATTAATTATTAATAATTATTATAATATTTTTTATACATAAAATTGTCATCATCTAAATCTCAATCATTAAAATTAAAATTTTAATGCTCTATCAAACCGACTGCATGATAATTTTAATTATTATAGCATTTATTATGGGTTTGAACTAAGACCAGTCACTGGCCTCATCAGCAACGGAAATTAATTTTCAAAGCCGAAATTTAGACATGAAATGTTGTTTTCATCCTAAATCAGAACAAATAAAAGAGCTTGTTAAATCAGTCATGTTCTTCCATTACAATATAAAAGAGTTTGTCAAGCTCATGCTAGATGCAAGGAACCTCAGAGGAACAGAATTTTGATACGATTAAACATATGGATCAGTTGTGCCTTGTACCAGTTCCACCTAGTTTACAAAGAAACGTTGGGGAAATGGTCTCATTTTGTTCCTCTCTCTATTCCATCATGCCTTACGCATAATCCAATATTTTCTTATCTCACCTTGTATAGAGGGCAATTTTGATTAGACCATTTGAATATCGGATTATCCGCTCATATCCAAAATTTAAAAAATTTTAAATTACATGAATATTAAATTTGTTAAATAAATTTAAATTTAAATTAAAAGTTCATTTAAAAAATAAATTGAATTTTGGATATAACATTTAAAACTTAAAATCAATTCGATTCATTCTATAAATATATATATATATTATAAAAATAAACAGATAATTAAACAATATATGTGCACATATTAATATTCTATGTATTAATATACTTTTCATTCAAACACTAAACCAAATTAACAAAGTTATTTTTAAATTTTTATTTTATTGATTATCTATTATAAAAAAAATTTTATAATAGATAATCACTGTTTCGTTGACTGGCAGTTGAGTGTCATTATCCAGATTCCACTAAATTGAAACTTGCCACTATAATTTGTAATTAAATTGAAACTTGGTACTATAATTTGTAGCGGGTTGTTTATTTTGGCCGGCTGACATACATGATTGAAAATTACTTTTGGACAAGCAAAAGTGAAATTTGTTTTGAAAAGAATTTATGTGTGAAGTATATTCATTCAATGTATAATAATATAAATATATTATGATTTTAAACTTTTAAAAAATTTTAAAATAATTAAGAGAATACATTGATACAATTAACTAAATATTATAAATATGCGCATCCATCAAATTACAAATAAACATGTAATTGGAAAAAAATCAAACTCACAAATAATGAAATCAGAATTATAGAATTAATAATTACTTTTATTATATTTTTTTTGTTTGGGACCTCTTGATGTCCGATAGCCATTTTGTGTCCCGATTATTCTTGGAGTCAAGTTGGATCGGATTTTATAAGAAAAGTAAGTTCCCCCAACATTTTTTTTTTCATTTATAAGACTCGAAATCAAAACATTACTTAAGAGGAACTGAGTTCTTTATCACTCGAATAAACAGACGTTGATCTTATTACATTTATGGTAGAAATTATTGACACTTATTGTA